GTCTTTTATAACATTATTTTCTTGTGTATCCATTTCATAAGGATGTATACAATGATAAGGTACAAGTTCGTTTAGTATAGTAACTGATTAGTTGTTTATGTGTTGTTTTCTGCTGTTACCCGTTGATTGCATTGGTTGTTTATGCATGACGTTATGACCTTGCCTTGTCGTCATCCTTTGCCTTTGTTTTACTTTTCCCCAGATTATAAGTCTATTTTTGGCTTGTCATTTACCCTTTCCTGCTTCATACATAAGCAATGGATATTATAAAGTAGACATCATATAATTAGGGTAAAACCATTACGGTGTACCGGAAACTATCAGTCGAGAAAATAGAAACCTTCTTAAATCATAAATCAGTTGATGTATAGAGAACTCCACTAATATCAAATAACGATTAATACATTATCTGTTTTAATCCTTCAAGAATAATAATTAGACAGTGAATAAAATGTCAAATGAAAGTGCTTATGGTAAGAATCTTTTCAATGAAGCAAAAATTTTAATTATTTTATTCTTAATTAGACCCTAATGAAGAACTTCCTTCACCATCAATTGAAGTACTAAATCAAATGCTCGGTAAGTTTTCTTATAATTCAAAGCAAAACTATTTCATTATTTTATTTTTTCTTTGTTTTGTTCAGGTTCATATCAACCAAATATTTTTGATTACAGTAAGTATGACTTTTCAAATTTATTTAGTTTTTCCTTTTTACAATATAGGAAAGACTTTTACACCAACTGGTATCGATGCATCTTATCATAGTAGTTTAAATTCTCCATCAGAATCAATATCGTTGCCTGAAATGCTTACTGGTGAAGATCTTCCATATGGTTTTGATATTATACAATGTCAACCTGCTCCTTCATTTGAATTGCGACCCGAAGATGAAAAACTTCTTATTCTAGCTGAACCTAAAGCATTTTATCGCGATAGATATTCTTGTGAAGTTGATCCAACAAAGAGTCGAGCTCAACGTTTTATTCGTGCAGAAGACAATCAACTGAAATATGAATATCCAACTGT